ATTATTATTACGATAATAAAACATGATAATATTCTTGTCTATACTTTTGTATTATTTATATAAACATAATTATATAAAAATAATATAACATTATTTATTAATTAATAAAAATTTATTAATTATGATAAGAATTACGTTCGTTAATAAATATTAATGAATGTATTGTAATTATTAATTATATTCTATGTAAACAGAAGAAATTTCTACTACAATACAAATATTTAATTTATACAAAATATAATAATTCTAATTATAAAGTAACATTTGTGTATAAATATCTATATTATTATTTTTATTTTAATCTGTATCTATTTTATAAAAAACTTATAACACTATATAAATTCATAATTAGGTATTATTTATTTTTTTCTAAAATATGAAGAAGGAAATAAGAGATCAAAGAAAGCACATGATATTTCGAATAATTTTTCTTTTATTCTTATATATAAAGTATTCCAAACTGCATGACGCAAGCAAATATAAGACGAAGACATCCTACTGATGTAAAAAGAAATTTGTTTATTTTTCGGAAAGAATAAAAAAAATAGAACAATATCGATTTTTGATGATAATAAAAAATTAAATATCGATAAAAAATAACGAATTTTCAAACATAATTTGTTAATTCACACTTTGTATAAATCTAACTTAATTAGTTAAAACTTCGTGTCTTCGTATAAAATTTGCGTACAATAATTGATTCATACTATTCCACGTGTACAAAATATTCGCATCGTATCGAAAAAAATAAAATAAAATAAAATCGACAAAGTTATCAGTTCATCGCTTATCACATATTCTACAGATTAAATTGATAATTAAAATTTCCAACTTTGTCTTCATCGATACACTTTGAAATTTCTTTTCGTTGTTATCTCTCGCAAAAGTGAGGTTAAATTAAAACCTATACATACGATACAACGCGGACACGTAGGTAGAGCGTGAAAGCGAAATGCGTAGCGGCAGCGAGAAAACGAAGGAAGCGCGTAGCGTAGCAAGACTTTCGTTTTTGGCGAAGGAGAATAAAATTCGTACGGTTGCGTAGGTAAATAGTTTGAAAAAAGAAGGAAAGGAACGCAGGACGCATTCAGGTAGTTTCCTACATCGAGGCGAATCCGCTTACTTGTCCGCCCTGGAGCGGGCTGCTTTGTGATGAATGCCCATCCTTCCCTTTTGCCCTCTATTCCCCGGCCCAACTCGGCATCGGACGGACGATCCCCGCGCGCACCATGCCCCGCGCTTTTGTCTCGGAGAATCTGCACAATGCTTTTCTCCTCGTGGAACCCAAGCCTCCTGCATCTTCCTCCCTTGCTCCGTCCATTTTTTTCCTTTTGCCTCGTTCGGGTTCCGTGACTCTGTGAAAAGGACTTAATCACATGCGGCACCAGGGATTTGTCCCTTCTCAGGTAGTCTCGTTTAGCGCCCAGAAACTCTTTGGATTTCCTTTCTTACTCAACTTTTCGCTTCCTTTCCAAATATATCTATCAACTACCTGTAAATATCCACTATACCTACATACCTTTTCCATATTTTCCAACGATATTTAATATTTTAGTTCTCTCCAAGTCTATTCATTGAACCAGATTAATCTTGTTCCAACTATGAAACCCATATATTCATAAATATTCGTAAATTGCATTAAGGAATATATATATATATATATATATTATTTTTTTTTCTTAGATTCGTTATATGCTAATACATTATTGTTAATTGATATGAAAATCTTGAAATTTGATTTTTGACACTACATTTCAAATATAGTTTCTTCCTTCGTAACACCTGTTATGCTACTAGTATTGTAAACTAGTAGTATTTAAAAACGAGAAAAAAGTAATATACGTACTTCTGTATCAACAAAATATGAAAGAGAAGATGAGTATGTAGAAGTAGTATGTAGAAGGAGTAGAGATAGGAAGCAATAAGAGAAGAAATGTGTAGCAGGATAAAGATGAATTTACCATCAGTTATTGGAAGAAATAAAGACAAATTTTAGTAAATAACATGTAACATATGTTATTTTATTTTATCATTTTATGATATATTTTTCAATCTAATATAATAATTTTAATTAAAAAATACAATTTGTTTTTATTTTTACTTTCTTGGTATAATTGATATAGTCTTTCAAGTTCTGTTAAAATATTCATTCAACAAATAATTCAACGTATTAATCTTTTAATGAGAATATCGATAAAATAGTTATTATATACAATGATATAATTTTTTTTTATAAATATAGATCTATATATAGATTAAGTATATACGTAGTTCAATACTTATTTATAGAGAATACCAGATTATATCAATTAATGCATTAAAAAACATATATTTTTATTTAAAAATTAATAATATTAAGCTTTTTCTTTTTTTGAATTATTTAACTTTTATCTTTAATGTTTCTTAATTATATCAATAATAAAAGAAATATAAATTATGTGCTTCATCTTGTGAATCCTTTATAATTAGAAAATTGATAAGAAATAGTACAGTATTTCAAGAAATTGGAACTGTAAGTAAAATTTAATAAAATATTTTTATTTTTAAAAATATCAAAAAAATTTCGTTATTTCTTCTCGGATTATATTTTCTTAATACAAAATCGAAATTTTTAATAGCATAAATTTTTATCAAAGTAAAATTTTTTAAAAGGGAAACATTATTAGAAAAAAAAGTACCACGCAAAATTTTTCTCAGATTCTCGAGATCGTGTTATAAGTAAGAATTTTTAATCGAATTTTATGATTCTGTTAGAGGATTATAATCTGAGAAGCAGTGGCACGACGCATAAAATGAGTTTCCTTCCTTTAATATTATATATTTTTAATGAAATATATTTTACTTATATAAGACAAAAATTTTCGGGAGTCAACGCCATCTCGCGTTTGGATCATGGAAGCTTCGATTTGTTACTAGCATATCAGAATATGCAAAGAGGTATTCGTGACGTCACAAAGAAGGAGAACAATATTGCGCGAGAAGGACAGGAAAAATACGCCATTTTTTAGTTATATAATTCCTAATATTTCTTACTATTCAAGATGTTACATTGAAAATTAATTAATTGTTGTTTTTTTTTCTAAAAATTTTTGCACTTTTAGACTTACATTTTAAAATTAAAACTTCATATAAATTTCTCGTATTAATTTTAATGAGAAATTCTTTTCCATTAATTATTTATTAATGATTAATACATCATAAGAATTAATACATCGGAAATGTTATATTAAATACTAATTATCAATACTGAGTGATTATCAATTTTTTAATAAAAATTTATACATTTTGAAACTTGCACGTTAAAATTAGACAAATTTCTTGTGCCAATTTTAATATGAAATTTCTTTTAATTAATTATGATTAATGATGCCACTCATATAATTTTCATTAATCTATTAATATTTAGTATTTATTTATAAATATAAATATATGAATTTAAAATTTTATTTTTTCCGTATAAATTTTATTCGTAATTTTCATTTTCATTTGAACAAATAAATTGATTGTTTATTACTCATTATTACTTACATAAAGATGAAACGAATAAAACACTCTTTATGATAATCATTGATAAATAATTAATTGAAAAATATTAAAATTGAAACGAAAAATTCTTGTCTGAAATTTTAATTTCAAGGTAAGCCTAAAAGTGCATAAATTTTTAGTAAAAAACTAATAATTAATTAATTTATATTTATTTATCAATTACTTCAATTAGGTAATAAGCAATCAATTTGTTTATTCAAATAAAAACAAAATTATCAATAAAATTAATACGTAAAAATAGAGAAGGAAATAACGTTCCAGATTCATACATTCGTATTTATAAATAAATGCCATAATAAATTAATGCAAAACGAATTACGATGGTATCGATGATATCAATTCAACGTAATACAGTAGTCATTAATCAGTAATTCATTGAAAATAAGTTAAAATTAAAACGAAAAATTTATTTAAAACTCTAATTTTAAGATGAAAATCTCAAAATATAATTTTTATTAAAAAACTAATAATTAATTAATTTTTATAGTATAATTGATGAAAAATATTAGGAGTCGTATAATCAAAGTAAGTGATACATATTTTCCATCTTTCTTTGTGACGTCACGAATACCTTCTTACACATTCTGTTATGCTAGTAATAAGTCAGAGCTTTCGCGATCCAAACGCGAGATGGCGTTGATGATCGAAATTTTTGATGAAATGATTATTCCTTAACTTATATATCACTTATAAACTATAAAATATACTCTATTAACAGTTTGTAGAAAAGAAAAAATGGAACTGTAATTCTATAATGTTCAGAAATAGCTGTTTGAAAAATATCGTGAAAAAAATTCATATATAAATGTTTCAAAATGAAAAATTTCTGAAAATTTTACAACAATTATATAATAGAGATACATAGGCAAGTACTCATATATTAAAAATTATATGGATTGAAATTTATTTCATTTACTATACATGTGAAAAAATAAATCTAACCTCTAATTTTTAGTCCAGTTGACAATTATTATTTGATACGTTATATTAAATATTTTTGTATATCTACGTAGTAGTAACAAAGAAAAAAGATTGGAACTTACCTTGCTTTTCTTTTACTGCTTTGGAGTTCTATAAAGATACAATATCAAAACTTTAAAACTTGGGAAAATTTTATTTGAAAATATAATAATACTTTCTTTCGGGCTATTATTTTTTAATTATTATTTTTTATTATTTTTATTTTTAACATTGTTATTTGAAAATATAGATAATATTAATTTATTTAAAATATTAACAATTTCAAACAATTAATTAATTATTAATATTTCTTTATTTTAAATTTAGCAGAAGAAATAACTATCAAAATAATCGTATAACAGAAATTGTAACATTACTGTACTCGTTACAAATAAAAGATGAAAATATTCTATAAATGAGATATTATCAGAATTATTTCTATTAAAGCTGTATATGTAATAACTATTGAAATTATTTAAAATAATTATTTCAATTGTGATTTGAAGTGATCTATGAAAGGAATAAAAAATCAATAGACATTTTAAAAAACGTAACGTATTCTATATTTAACAAACATCTTCGTCACGTCTGATATTTACAATCACACAATGCGCGTGTATTTGCTAACATATTCATCGTTGAATATTTACAGTGTGGTACATAATTACAAAGTGCGATACGGACGGAGCGATCAGCAGGCCGAATTCCTCTTCAGTTCTTCACGCGTGCATATGTTACACTTTTTATATAATACATACATTCAATCATAGGTATACGTAATAATTGAATATTGAAGTTTTCTTTACTTGTATTTTCGATATTCCGATCAGTTGAGTAGTTATATAGAACACGAAGTTTCTTCGTTTCATATAGACTCTTTTACTCTTTCATGTAAATAATTATCATCGAAATATAGATGAAAGATGTAACAAATTAAAAAATTTGATAATTCCATGATTTCATATATATTTGAAATTTTATTATCTTTATTTGTATTGTTTTGAAATTAAGAAATAGGAACGATAAGTTCTTTCTTGCAAAATATTATTATCATTATTAATAACTTTATCATTAAAAATGCTAAATTAATAGCATTAATAAAAGAAACGTTTTCCTTTATTTGCATAAAACTTAAAGTAATTATAATGGACACAATACTTTTTATATAAATCGTATATTTGATAAATTCCAATAATATTTCCGTTTTAACTTTTTTTGATTTTTATGTCATTGATATTTCTAACATTTTATTTCTCTCAAAATTTATTTTATTAAAATTCATCATCATTTTCTCAATTCTTTTCGTTCCTATTTTCATAAAGAAAAAAATTGTGTTTTGGATAAAAACATTGTTTATAATCAATTATTTTATAAATAAAAAAAAAAAGGACACTATTTTTTTATTTATTTCATTAAAGAATATCTTATGCTTGTTTTCTTTGAATCACATTTGTTTAATTAAAAGTATAACAGTATAATATTAATTCGATGGAATCGCTGAAAATATTTTAATTTCGAAATTTACGTTTCCAAAAAATAATTAAATTTTTCATCTTTTCTATATAATATTTTGTTGAAAATGTAAATCCCTTCCTATATTCATATATTCCTTGAACAAAATAATTTTATTTTCTTTTATTTGCAATAATTTTTTGCATGTTTTGAATTTCTCTGAATTTGCATATATAATGCATATATATGTCTATCTATTTTTCAGATAATAGTAATAACGATAAAATAAAAATTATAAGGGAAACGTAAATTTCAAATAATATATTTTTTTTTTATACAATTTACAAATACATAAATCGATCGATCGATACAATTGTATTATCGATAAATCTCATTATAAACTTGTAATTAATTACAAATCATCGTGCATTTCTCTTATATTACATAAATAAATATTCACTGACTAGTGTGCAATATTGGCTCGCAACACAATCGCAATTAAATTAATTATGTAAGTATTTACGAATGCACAACTTTTTCTTCTCGTCTAACGCTTAAATAATAATGAATTTTTGAATTCGGCGCGCCGAAGGGACACTCCGATCCGTTACTCGTTCCTTTTTTTTTTTTTTTTTTTTTACAAAAGCTTATACAACAAGTAAACAACAAAAAAGCTTGAAACGCCGAGACATTTCGATTTATCGTGTTCCTTCCTTTCTCGTCATTCTTCCATCATTCTTTCATCATTTCTGTTTTCAATTCACAAAACAATCGGTAGATTTTTGTCGACGTTTTTTTTGAGGTTAAATTTTTTCTTTGTCGACTTTCTTTAAGTATTCTAAGCTAAATACTTCCTTCCTTTCTTTTTTTTTTTTTTTTTTCTTTTCTCCATAAATTTCTTTATTTTTCACAAAGTATGCATCCATGGAATACTTTCCCCATCTTTTTCGAATCGATCGATGCTTTTTAATCGATTTTACAACTTTACAACCAACGTATACATACATACAATATGTTACATACGGGAACGAATGTATGAACGAATCCGTGACATTATTGGTTCTTCTGAAGAAAAATATAACAGTATCAGTGAAAAGTTTCAACGCGTATATCGATTTACCCGAAAAAAAAAAAAAAAAAAAAAAAAAAAAAAAAAAAAAAAAA